ATATAACACTTTTATGGAGCATGCAGGTAAATCAATAGGTACATTCACATAAACACATAGCTATGAATATTAATCAACTTGCAGCAAATTTACCATTCAAGCAACCTTAGACAATTCCAAGTTTTAACACAAGAAACACCAACAAAAAGACATAATCAAAGGATTACCATATCAAAAGCAGCCAAAACAACGTAGATAGGACATTTAGTGAACACACAGAAACAGTCAAAAACAAAACATAAAGAATAATCCAGGCAAATTAAATGATAAGGACAATTTTAAAGATAAAAAATAAACGAACAAGAAAAGAGAAAGAATATGAAAGATGAAAAGTACCTGATGATTTAATGAATCAAAGATACACGTATATATATATAAACTAGAATTGGTAATTCATATTCAAAATGATATACGCACAATAATATCAAAAAAAAAAAAATCATTGTAGGCATATTTAAAGGAGCAAATAATGAAAATAAAAAAAGGCATACGAGAACTACTAAAAAAATTACAGATAAACAGATAGTAAAAGATAAGATTCCTAGGTACAGGTATTGACACTACTACAGAATTCGCATACAACGTCGGGCCTTTAACGTCGGCTATATACATAGCCGACGTTAAAGAGTTTTTAATTTTTTTTTATTAAATTTATAGCGCCAGCTATTAACAAATATCCGACGTTATATATAAAAATAAAAAAAATAAAAGAAACAAATACCCTACGACGTCGGCTATCTGTCTAGCCGACGTCGTAGGGTATATTTTTATTATTTAAAAATAATAATAATTTAGATATAACGTCGGCTAAACGTTATTAGCCGACGTTAAATCGTAAAAATAAAAAAAAAAATAAAAGAAATAAATATGATACAACGTCGGCTAGTTGTTATTAGCCGACGTTATATATTTATTAAAAACATATCTGCAGTTCGAATTTCATTCACTCCGTCTCTCTTCGCCCTCGAATTTCTTCTTCTCCCCATCGCTACCGCCTCTCTCCGCCCTCGCCACCGCCAACGCCACACCGCCCAGCTGCGACAGCCGGTCATCGCTCCGTCGGGTCGTTTCTCCGCCTCCGCCGTAGCCTCGCGTCGGTTCTCCGCCTCCTCGTCGTCGCTCCCACCTGCCCACCGCTGCCCAAGCCATCGCTTGCCGCCGCCGCCGCTCCGCCACACACAGACGCGCTGCTCAGCCTCCCCGCCGTCCGCTGCACTGCCACACCGTCGTCCGCTGCTCCCCCGACCGCCGTCCACCTCTTCGCTGCCGTTGAAGGTAATTTTTTTAATTATTATTAATTAATTTTTTATTATCTCTTTCATGCTGTTAATTCTATTTCTAGTGTGTAGTGTTTGTTTATTGTTTTTGTTTGTGATTTCTTGAAGCTATTATGGCTTCAGTCATCAATTCTGAAGAGTAACAATGGTAATTTCTTCCGGTGTACAGTAGGTATTATTATTAATTCAAGAACATGGGGAGCATTAGGTTTCACAAGTCATGTTTAATTTAGTTATATATTAGGTTTTAGACCAAGCATTATTAATAAGAAGATAATTCAGAAAATTAAGAATTGCTTAATTTGCAGTAAAATTTAGGGTATACTTAACTCTCATGTGCTAATGTTTTCCTAATTTTGTGCTAATGTTTTCCTAATATAATTTATTTTGTATTGCTATCCAAAGTTGCTTAGCCATAGTCTTGGATTACAGTTGGCCAATAATCTTAAAATAATTGTCTGCTATATTTTTTGTTGCTTAGCTCGTATAGTCGTATGTAAAACAAAATCTGCTGCTATTTGTACTACAAAAGGGTTTGCAAGATGTGCTGGGCATGTGAAAATAATGCAAGAAATTAATGGCTTAACGTACAGTTCCATGATCAAAATAAATCAATGAGGTTGTTTCAAAATTAAGAAAAACATGCATGTTTTGGTGCAGTTTTCACACAAATTATACATAGTAAAGTAACATGTACATGAAACATGAAACTACGAATTGAATAATCCTGGGAGAATGAAAATATGGAATTGCTAATTGTATACCATCCAGGTTGCTAGCTAAAAGCTGCTAGTTTCTTGAATTACATCTCGGATTAAAGCTTACTAAGATAAGATGATCCCTCTTCGCTGCAGTGGCTTTCTTTGCCATCTCTGCAATCTCTACTGCCTTTTCCCTTCTTCTCTCTGCTTCTTCGCTCTTCTCCATTGCCTTTGCTACAGCATTCTTCACATCCTCCCGCAGTATTACGAGCCCAGATTTCTCTTCAATCCCCCAAGCAACAGCGGCTTTGACTCCCACACTAACACCACTCTTAATACAAAACTAAACCAAACAAAACCCCACTCCGCAACAGTTTATTTTTTCATGATTTATTCGGAGGAATTTCTTTCTTTTGTTTTCCAACAATATATTATTTTCTAGAGAGGTGATTTTGACAGGAAAGAGTGAAAGGTACGTGGTGTTTTTGTTTTTCTCTTTCTTTCATTCATTTCATGGCTTGAAAAAGGACTATGTATATATATTGCCAGGAACTTGTGAATACATATTGCCTTGCGGACTTTGATACATTATATCAACAGTAAATTTGGATTTGACTAACTATGCTACACTAATCCCATAATAAGTTTGTAGTAATTGAAATCTGTAACTTATCATGTACAGCTTCTTCTTCTTCTTCTTCTTCTTCTGTCTTTGCAAATAGTTTCTTCTATGATCTCTCCCTGCCATATTCATTGGTGTTAACAATGGTGATTTTCAGCATGAATGCATTCATCTTTCTTCTTGCTATCACTTGCCATCAATAGCAGGGGGGTCTAGAATTGCAGATGCCGTTGCTTTCTTCCTCACTTTACTGCAAATAAATATCATGGAAATGGGGAATTTTTGTACTTTTTTCTAGATTTTCTTGAAGCATATCTTAATGTGATGACTGATGAGTTGAGTGAATCCTTGAGATAAAGATTTATGGGCAATCCATTCTGGGGAAGAGCAAAGGGCCCATACTGAATCCCATTCTGTGGGCCCACCATAGACCACCTACAGGAAATGGGAAATCAACCCCCCAAAAAAAAACAGATACTCATATCTTTTGTATTCGGTATTATCATAGATTAATATATATCAATAAGATTGTACTAGATTGATAAGAAGTCGTTAATAAAATCTGATACAATCATGTTAGTGTGTATATATATATATATATATATATATATATATATATATATATCGAGTGCATTTATTTATATAATCCAAATTATGGGTTGGTATACCTTTAATTTAGTGGTAGTCATTTTGTTTTTTTTTCATGAATTTATTTAGAGAATCTGTATAAACTAGCAAGCTTTAATGATTAACTCCTCTTGAGTGAAAGGAATTTGCAAGTTTTTTCTATTATATTAAAGAGAGGTATACTCAAGTAGTCTATGGCTGGAGATGATCATCATTCTTCACATATTCCTTATATTCACTAATAATTCCTTTGCTAAACAGGCATATGGATTCATCAAATGACCCCCCTATTAATAGTACCACCCAAACTAAAGGTACTGATACCAAAGCTAAGAAGAGGGGTGCCACCGTTATGACAAAATTAATTTCTGGGCGTGGTGACACAAACAAGAAATTGGTGGTTCAATTTGATAGTAAACACGAAGCTGTTGGGGGCAGGGAGCGCCCAATTCAAAAGTTATTTTGCGCTGATTGCACGGAGCAAAGTTCCTATCACATATAAAAATTGGAAAGTGGTCCCAGAAGAGAGTAAAGCGTTGGTGTGGGATGATATCGTGGTATACAACTTATTTATAAAACTTTTGAATTAATTGTATTTAATTTGTTTCTAAATAATCTTGTCTTGCAGAGCGTTTGTGATATTCCCACTCATGCGGATTGTAAGTAATATGTTAAAATTTTCTACGTTATTAAGATAGCTAGTAATCATTATTAAATATTGTTTTTATATGTTAGGATTTGCTATCATTGCAAGCTTCTCAAGGAGAGTTTGTTGAGTCCGGTAGACAAGATATATTGTCTAATGCCATAGGTACAGATGAGCATTACGGACGTGTTAGAGCCGTGGGTAGAGCACATGGCTTAAAAAGCTACTTTGGTCCTGCAAAACGTCATCAAAGCCGTCTACACCAGAAGTAAAAGATATGATTAAGACAGCAGTTGCTGAGGCGTTAGCAATTCAAAGAGAGCATATATGAAACATCCTTGCAAGCAGCCATTCAAGAGATGAGGGATGAAATTAGTAGTATGAAGACTCCAGCAGCTCAACCTGTACCATCAAGGCAGGAGGAAGACATGCGTGTAGCTGTCCAACCACATGGTCATAGTGAAAAAGCAAGTTCTCCAGACCCTTTTGCTGATTTACCGGCCGTAAGTAATCATTTATAACTAATCTTATTATTATTTATTAAAAATATTTTGCTATTTCTTAATATGAATTCATGCAGTTAAGAGCAGGATGTGAAGTGTATTTGGAAGATCCCATTAGACGTAAAGTTGCACGTGGGACAGTTTACAAGGCCGAAAGGATTCACGGGATACAAATACATGTGGATCAAGTGAAGATCACCGTGACTAAAATTCTCGTGTCAAGTGCAAAGGTACCCTTCCCTACCGATGAGGTTCAACTGTTAAGGGATGCACTGCACAACTTTATTATTTGGCCAAGAAGTTGGTTGAGTTGTATACCGAAGCTGATGAGGTATGTATTTTCAAAATTTTTGGATTTTAAAATAGTGTTTAATTTACTTTTTAAAAATAGTAATTGTTACTTATATTGAACAGGTACAAATGACTTATGCTTCCGGTGTGCAACGACCTTCTGTTGATCTCACTATAGCTGATCCGACTTCTTTTAGTCCTCGATGTCTAAAGGTATATAAAATTGTTTGCAAACTTGATGAAAATGTTGTGATAAAGATGGAGCGTGGTATTGTGGGCGATGTTGACTATCCCTTACAACTTGACCCGTTGGAGATTATGTGTTTTTTAAGGATGGAGACGTTAGATGTTTCCATATTGCAGTTCTTTATAAGGTAATAATTAAGTTCTTTACTTATATTTGTTTATATAATATTTTTCATTTCATCTATTATATTACTAATATATATGATTGATTGTATTTTTTAATAGGGGTCTTATGACAAATTTGATTTGGCATCAAAGACCACATATGGCTTCTTAGATCCACATTTCATTCAACCAGTTTCGAATACTATAGATGAACAGACAGGGTATATCAACGTCACCATGCAATATGGCAAAAAACAATGCTATCTAGCGCCATATATTTTAAAGTAAGTTTTAATTGTTTCAAATAAAATAACTTATATATAATACACTTTTATTATATATTATATTTACTTACAGCTAATACATTATTGATTTGTAGTGACCATTGGATGTTGATGGCAATTTGTCCTCAACTTAATGAAATCTATTTGTTTGATTCAATTGGAGGCCAACCACGTGATGACATCAAAGATATTGTTGAAAAGTATGTGAACTTATAAGTATTACTATGTATAAATAATAAAGTATGCATGATGTCATAAAGTATTTATGTATACTAATCTCTTATAATTTTAGGTGTGTCAATTCAGCAAAGTTGTTGAGAAGCAATGGATCAACTCGTTCACCAAAATAGACTAAGGTTTTGGTAAGTATTTTATACATTTGTAAAACTACATATATTTTATTGTTTTTTATTAAATAAAATTTTAAATGTAATTTAATTCAAATGTAGTGTCCTCAACAAGTTGGAAGTACGACATGTGGATATTATGTGATGAAATACATGCTTGAAATTCTTTCCAAAGAAGCATGTGCGGGAATGGATAAGGCATGTAATTTAATATAATACCTTTCTCTTTCTAATTTTAAAATGCTAGCTTACTAATTATTTAATAATTATCAACATTGTAGATTGTTGAGAGAGTTGGTGGATCGAGCTACACTCAACAAGAAATTTATCAAGTAAGAGACGTATGGGCCGACTTCTTTGTTGATGTATGGTTAAGTATGTAAATTGAACAAATTGATATTAGGTTTTGATAATGTTAACTTGTATTATTAATTAGTATCAAATTGTGAGATTTATAACTTTTATTACTTGTTTGATTATAAATATTAGATTTTACATATTTTGCTGTGGTAGTGGTGTAATAATTGAGCAGGTTTTGGATGTGGTTGTGAGAAATTGAGTAGGTTTTGATTTTGATTGTGAGAAATTGAGCAGGTTTTGGTTGTACTGTAGTTGTGAATAATTTGAGTAGATTTTGGGTATAAATGGACAAATAAACTGTATATTAAAAAAAAATAATAAACATACAACGTCGGCTAATTAGAATTAGCCGACGTTGTATATTATTTAAAAAATATATATAAAAAAGTTACAACGTCGGCTAATAGGTATTAGCCAACGTTGTAAGTTATTTAAAAGAAAAACATAAAAAACTTATAACGTCGGCTAATAGGTATTAGCCGACGTTGTAAGTTATTTAAAAAATATAAAAAAGTTACAACGGCGGCTAATACTAATTAGCCGACGTTGTAGGTATTTATTAATGTTACAACGCCGGCTAATACTAATTAGCCGACGTTGTAGGTATTTATTAATTAAATTAAAAAATATATATAACGTCGGCTTTTTAAAAAGCCGACTTTATATATATTATATACAATGTCGCTCAGAACAACTTCAGAATTTAGCTGACCTTAAAGGTGCTATTTAGCCGACCTTAAAAGTCTGCTGTGTAGTAGTGTGAGGTGATACCAACTAAAAGATAAGAGCTAGAGAATAGTACCAAAATTCCTGATCTTCTGCTTGCATTTGAGGTTTCGATCTGTTCAGAGATCAATTCTCCACTTTCAAAGGCTTATAAGGGTCCTTAAAGATTTTATAATAATTTTTGTAGCTTCTGGTTAGGGAACCGTAGAGACTGAGCATAAAAAAAAAAAAAAAAAAAAAAAAAAAAAAAAAGCTTTTTGAAATTCTTCGGCAGCGGCTGTTGATGGGGCGGCAAGCAGATGTGCAGTGGAGATGAAATAGCGGTTGGCGGTGGCAGTGCAGCGACTTGAATAGCAGCGGCAATAACGGATGACGAGTCGCAGGTGGCGACTTGTGGTGCTCCTGTAGTCGTGAAAGGTGATGAGAGCATGAGGTTCGCATGAAAGGGTTGCCCGGCGGTGGCGATAAGGAGCGGCTGAACTCGATTCAGGCGGTGAAGGTGAGGCATTGCTGGCCGACAGCCGCAATGGTGGCGTGGACTGGCTGCGCTTGGCTGTAGTGATGGCGTCCAGCTGGACAGCGGTGGCTTCGTGGTCTGCTCCGTCGATGGCGGCTTGGACGGGCGGTGCGGTCGGATCGTTCAGTTATAACCACGGTATTTCTAAGCATTTATTCGCCATAGCCACGATCAAATTTGTCTCCTTGGATAATTTTGCGAAAAAGGGGCCAATCTTTCTCCGTTTGTAGTGTGGATAAGGAATGGATTAATCATAGGATTAAGCTGGATTTTAAAAAACCATTTGCAAGAGGGGAAAAAAAATTGGTGATGGCCGTTTGCGTGAAGAAGAAGACGTAGAGAAGACACGGCTAGAAGGTTTTTTTTTTTTTTTTTTTTTTTTTTTTTTTTTTTTTTTTTTTTGGAAAATACTAGTGTTATTGTTGGATTTGAAATCTAAATAAGGTTATAAGATAAGGTCCCATAACCATAAGGATTTTGTCTCCAACTAGTATAACCCTTGAACTCTAAAATTTTATTCCAAAAGGCTGAACCCCAACCCTAAGGGCTCCCCACACCCCGGCTCGACAGAGCATTTGGGAGGATGTAAATCATGGTGACTCAACTGAACATGAACCATAGAGGCTAGACCGGTGCTCACTGCGCACAAGAAGCCCCCCTCACTTTGAGAGGTTGCTCCCACACTGCCGCTGGTGAGACTCGATCCCTGGTCATTATTCCAAAGTTTCACCTCTAGTCTAAAATTTTTAGACTAATTGTGCCTGCACTCACAAAATAAAACAGAAAAAATATTAGTAACACTAATTAATATTTATTTTGAGAAAAATTACCTGAAGAATCATTTATTCCTCCGAACAACACATTTTGTTAAGGTGATGGATTGCAGACGCCAAGTGTTGCTCTCAGCAGCTCAAATCTTGATTTTTCCGACGGCTTGGTAAATCTGTCCGCAAGATTCTTTTCCGTAGAAATGTAATCGAGATGTATTGGTTTTTCTTCAACTAATTCTCGGATAAAGTGATAACATCCTAATTTTTGATGCCACAACTCAAACTCATTTATGTTGGACCTGCAACAATGGATATCGTTTGTTAGAATATAGCTGTTGTCTGTTGATCGCTTACCTTCCATAACACATTGCTTTTCATTATCCATGCATAATGTTGCAGCTGTCTTTGGTGAAGCTGACATTCCAGTTTTGGTCGCAAAGCTGGCTTATCTGATACTTATAAGATTGGCATGAAGGCCGTTCACAAGTAACACTTCCTCTAGCTTGGGTAAGCCAGTCACGTTTAGAGTACCTACTCCAGTGACTTGACCTTTAACACCATCACCAAAGGTGACTTCACCTTTGCTAGCATTCACGTTACTTAGGAGTTTTGCATTTCCTGTCATGTGATGTGAACAGCCGCTGTCGAAATACCACTTTTCTTTTCTTCCTCCATGTTTAGAGTAAAACGAGACAAAATAAATATAATCACTTTTCTTAACCCAAACTTGTTTTGTGGAAGGCTTGATGTTCATGTGTCTGAATTTTTCAGCCCTTTGATCCTTGTAGAAGTAGTAACATTCGGGTTTGATGTGGCCACGTAACCTGCAATAATGACAGACAGGGTTATAGAATTTATAAAACTGTTTATGTGACCGTACAATACCGTTGATTTGTCTTGCTGAGCTGGATTCAGGAATGTCCACTGGATCAGGTCTTGATGCTTTGACAAATACAGTTTTATCTTTTGAAGTACCCCCAGTGAAACCCTGACCAAATTTTGCAGAAGACTTTCTTCCTTAATCAAGTATTTGTTCAAGTGTTGAGGTGGTGTCCATCATTTGGATTTGTCTTTTGAAATGATCAGTTCCTGCTTCAGAGCCTGTACTTCCTGTTTTAGTTTCTCTTCTCGATCAGACGCCTCTTTAAGCAGTACATCCCTATCATCTACTTGACTTTGGTACACTTTACTAGCATTGGCTAATATTCCTATCTCCCTAGTCAAGGTACGATTAGCTTTACGTAGGGCTTCCCACTTGGGATACAGTTTATTAAACTCTACTTCATAAGACAAAGCAGGTAAATCTAAATCTTCTGCAGAGTCATATTCGCCTCCTTCTGAATCAACTATGTCTCCAATTTCTGAACACGCTGCAATACGAACAATGAAAACTACAAAGTTACCGAAAATTTCTTATGCGTCAGATCCAGCTGCGTCAGTCTCAGGTTCGTCGTCACTCCAGGTAATGGCTGACATCGATTTCTTACGACGTAGATTGGTGGGACATTCCTCTTGGACGTGACCGAAACCCTCACATTCATAACATTTAATCCCTTTATTGCTAGATTTGTCTTTGGACTGCCCTGGACGTGAGGCGGAAGGCTTGAAATTTGACGAGCCCGTCCTAGGGCCAGCTTTTGATGTATTTGACGTTGATCCTTTTTGTGATTTGTTGTTGCGGGAATTCTTTGACACCTGTTTCAAGATTTTAGAAAATTGCTTAGTTAAGAAAACAACAGTATCATCACTTGGTTCATCTGAGTCAGAGGTAGTATTGTTTTCTTCAGCGGCAAAAGCTAAGTTTTTTCTTTTTTTAGTGTGATCGGTGAGAATTTCCATTTCATATGTTTGAAGGTTTCCCATTAACTGAGTAACAGTTTTATTTTCCCAGCCGTCATGTTCCTGAATGGCCGTGACCTTCATCTTGAATATTGTGGTAGGGATCTCAGAATTTTCTTAACCAGTTTTACTTGAGGAAAAGGTTCACCAAGAACCATTGCACGATTCGCCAACTCTTGCACACGACTTTGGAAGTTCGTGATGGTTTCATCCGAAGTTCTTCAAAGTCGGACTGAACCAGTTGCAGCTTCGATTGCTTAACTTAATTCGTCCCTTCGTAGGTTGACTCAAGAGCTTCCCACGCACCTTTAGCTGAATCATAACCTACAACTATGAGAAATTGACTTTCATGCATTAGTGAGTAAATAATATCTAGTGCTTTATCGTTATTTCCAGCATTAGTTATTTCAATTTGGGTCCATTCAGATTCAGGTTTTCCCACTTGTGGACCGTCAGCACTAGTCCCGGCTTTAGTCGAATGTGTCCAACTCGTCACAACAGAATGCCAAACAAGTTCTCCTTTAGCTTTTAGGTGCGTTCGTGTGCGTGCTTTCCAATAACCATAGTTGTCGTCTGTTAACTAGGGAAGAACTTTAACACGATCCATTCTGAAACACTCAACAAACCGTGAGATTGAACAAAGTAATAAAGTGAATAAAAGCAATATAAGCCGCTGAAAGCTTGAGTTCAAGAAGCACGGGATAGCTAGATCGATAGACTAGTAATTTAAGTCTCCGGGCTCTGATACCAATTGAAATTGTGCCGTGAATCTTGAATGCAAGACGTTACTAAAATTCTACTTGATTTTATCTTAAGCACCAATCATATCCATTAATTAGGTTATTTATAAATAATAAATAACAAAAAGTAAATGTAGAAAATAAATCAAGAGCACAATAATTGTTTGCGCAGTTCGGAGCGCTTCTCCTACGTATGCGGGGCAACCCACGTCTGCCTAATTCACTATAGATGTTCACCAAGGAGTTTTACAAGAGGTACGTACATAAGGCTAACAGCCGTTACTACCACAACACCTTTCTAACATCTACTCAGGATTGCACGTGCATGTCGTGACTATCTTCAAGAGATACTTCTACTGACCCAGGTACAGACTGTATAGCTCAGATGAAATCCCTCATAAAATAAGTGTAGTAAATTGATTATAAGTGCTGCAATATATAGAAGTTCGTTCCTCTCAATTTAGCATATGAAAAACTGTAAGTTTTCATTATGAGCAGCCTTCCTTTTATAGCAATATTTCCTTCCCACCTTGATCCACGTTAATAGCTCAAAAGAATCACAACCACTTATAATTTTGAACTTCCCTTGTGATTAGCTCAAAGCAAATAAATCTTCTACTGACTTCCACTTCACAAATAAACTTTTAATTTGAGCCATTCAAAATAAAAATCATATGATAGGAAATGGTCCAAGAGCTTAGCCTAATTTAGTTCTAATTATTAAAAATAATTTAGCCAACATAAAGTTTTAATGTGTACTAACTTTGTATACTTACAAACCATTTAAAGACTGTCTTTATTTCTTGTCCCACATTAGTTTCTTAACTCACTTTTGCCTTCCTTTATAAAGCTTAGATCAATACTTCCTAGAAATCTTGAAGAGTAATGGAGAGGAAATAAAGGGGAATTACGCGCACGCCATTGTTCGCACACGTGCGAGGTGTCGTCCACTCTCTCCCATCGAGAACATTCAAAATCCGGTTTGTAGTTCTGTGTTACCCTCGGAAGCATAAATTACCCTGGTTGTAAAATGCTTTTAGGTAGTGATAACCTAATTAACACCTCACATAACCTTTTTTTCTTTCTTTCCTTCGTAAACTAGTGTTAGGAAGAAGAACAATCCGGTCTCGCAAAAGGAACCTGAGAACTAGATAAACAAGGGAAAACTTGATCACAATCTTCAGGCATGTGCATGAACTTGATCTCAATCTTCACGCATGTGTAAGAATACTATCCTAAAAGTTTCTAATTTCCCTTAGCAAGCAAAAAGGGTAACAAATTAGAACTTTTGAGATGCAAGAAAAATGTCAAACTTTTTAGGTTGCTTTTCTAAAAAGTTCATCCCTTGATAATTGTTTCTTAGAAACCACTCTCTTGTAAGTACTGCAGCTACTTAGTCAAGAGCAAAGAATACACATAACATCGTATCTTGGCAACTTGATAGAAGACCTACGGCATAACCCGACAACGGCGCCATTTGAAAGCTCTGTAAAAGTGGTGGAATGGAGTGTGTGTGAGAGGGTATCCTCACGCCTGATATCATCTCAAGGAGTGGACCGAAAGGGGGTAGAATAGTAGGTTGTTAATCACAAGAGTGTAGAGTGTTTGGAAACTAGTTCAAAGGAATAAATGTGATTCACGTGATAAGATCAAAATAAAAGAAATGAAAATCAAATTGTAATGAAAAATCAAGCAACAATTAATAATCAATAGTAAAACTAAGGTCTTGTACTAGACTATTTAAATGTAGATGGTATAGTGTATCATTGGTTAGAGCTCATGTAATGCATTGAAAATGGAACTAGGGAGATGCTACTAGGTGCCAACGCCACTCTCGTGGCTGTTGGACTCTCAATTAGCTTCAAGCCTCACTCTCATGGTGACTCAAGGTCATTGAAGCATTTTATCAAACATGTGGTGTTCACATCTCCTTACATCCCCTTTTCTCAAAAGGTGAGTTGGATTAGTGAAAGCAATGACTATGGTACTGCTCTATTCTCATAGTGACAAAACCTTGTCCATGTACCTCTTGCATAATTTGGCCACAACCATACATGAGTCAATACAAACCACCAAGCTCACAACTAGAGTCATCATCAAGTCATAGCACTACCTCATAGTTCAATTCAATCACATATCATTAATCACAAAAGATGACTTAATACAACCCCTAATTAAATATAGCTAAGCATGGATTGAAATTAAAAACATTTGTAATAACAATTGGAAACAATAAAATACAAAGAAAGCAACAAGAAAGACTTAGCTTGGATTAAGACCTATGAAAAATTAAATATGCAAATTGAGAATTGAAATTCGAAACTGTTCTTCAAATCTTCTTCAAAGATGGATTGATTACACAAATGAAATGATTCAAGAAAATCTTGGAGAGAGAGTGGAGAATGACAAGTTCTCTAGCTTAGGGCTATTTATACCCCTCAAATCGTGCCAAAACTACATTTAAAATTGATTATGGGCTTGTGGTCACGATGTGAGTTCCACCATGACTTTCAGCATAGTTTGCAGGTTCCAGAGGTAACGATCGATTTCACGCCGTGACCTCGACCGTGACCACCCACTATGAGTAACAATTCTAGTTTCTAGGCCATTTGTCACTTTGTATACGTTCAAACTAGCCTTTGTGCTCTTCATGAAAGTTTTAACCCTTTGAGTTTACGTTCCAATGCCACTTGAATCAACTCATTTAGACACACCTAACCCGAGATATGCTAAAAATACCGAGACGCTGCCTGCCAAAGAAAAATGCAGAGCAGAATGGAGTCACGCTGGTAGTCACGACATGACCATCAGCGTGAGGCCTGATTTTCACTTCAAAATTCATATTTCATCATCCCCTTTGTTCTTTTGGATCCTCAGATCATGTAATGATACTTCCAACTTGTATTTTTTCACTTTCTTGACCTCTCATGAATCCCGAAACACGCCTTTGTGCAAAGATGACTTTAAAACACATCCAATTGAGCTTCAATTTAAATGATGTTACAATCAATGCCTCCAAATCACCTAAATGACACAAATGAATCTAATAAGCGCATACTTAGCTTCCAATTAACATAAAATCATATGAGTTTGATATCAATTATACACATAAAAATATTAAGAATTAGCACTTATTAAACGTCTAGCCAAAAAGTAGCCTGGCTTGCCACCGGTGTCGACTCGCTCAATGTCCAAGCCTCAGTGCCTCACCACCACTGCTAGAAATCTTTAATTTTCCGACCACTTTTTCGACCACCTAAAAAATGGTCGAAAAAGTGACATTTTTTAAATTTTTCGTCGAAGGATTATGGTGGGGAAATAGGTCAGAATTTTCAACCACCTTTACTTAGTGGTCGGAAATACCGACCACAAAGTAAAGGTGGTCGAAAAAATTTTCACTAGTTTAAATTTTTTAAACTGAGTTTGAGAATTTTCGCCAATCTTTCTAGTAGCTGATTTTTCCGACCACTTTACAAAATTAGATGCTATTTCCGACCACCTTGTCCAGTGGTCAGAAATATCAACCAAGGTTTTTTCGAATACCCAAAGTGGTCAGAACAAGGGCTTCTGACTTGATTTAAGATCACTTTGAAGTGGTCAAAAATTTCTTGATTTCCAGCAGTGCACTTCCAGTTGCACCTACAACCGTGCAGGGAAAAGCCACCTCCTCCCTGACTTTCTTCCATTCCGATCCTAGGGGTTTCCCTCCTCTCCAATATAAATTGCAATAGTTATGTTGTGGAATCGTGTTCACCATGCGCATGGTGAACACGGGATAGATCCATAATTTCTAAGCTGTAGATTCATAATTTCTATACTATAGATTCATAACATCTATATTGTAGATTCATAATTTCTAGATTCATAATTTCTATACTGTATATTCATAATTTCTATACTGTAGATTCATAATTTCTATACTGTAGATTCATAATTTCTATACTGTAGATTCATAATATCTGTACTGAGAAGACGAAATAATGCGATTGCGAAGAGAGAAACGTCGTTAACGATAAATGAAAAATAAAATTATGAAAATACAGCATAGAAATTATGGATCTACCCCTGTGTTCACCATGCGCATGGTGAACACGTTTTCACAACATAATTTGCGTATAAATTGTCCTTGGGCTTAATTGGGTCCATAGCCCAATCACTAATTATCCAGTCGTTATATCGTGGACCGCGGTGCACATGCACTTCGGTCAAAACGGCGCCGTTTCTTTAAGTAAAGAAACGGCGCGCCGTTAGTGTTAATGGAGCACGCTTTTTTTGTATGTTAATTACCAACTGACACTACAGTATATCTAAACCGACACTGCCTCACATATTATTTTTATATTATCAAATGAAACTGCAGTTATATCAAAATGTTATTGTAGTTACGGTGAAATGAAACTGCAGTGTATATAAAATGAAACTGAATAACATTTCACATATTTGAGTGTATATTGTACAATGAAGCTGTAATTATATTAAAATGATTATGTAGTTGTATTTTAATAAAACTATAGTGTATATAAAATAAAATTAAATAACATTTTCAGTTTTTCACATATTTGAGTCTATAAATATCGAATGAAACCGTAGTTATATCGAAATGAAACTATAGTTGTGTTGAACTGACACTGCCGTGTATACAAAATGAAACTGAATAACAGAGTTACTTTTTACAGAAGGGTGCGAAACGGCGGAAAACGGATGCCGTTTATTTTCATTAAACAAAACGACATCGTTTTGATGCGTGGTGCATAATCGATTATGCACCGGCGGTGCACGATATAATTTGCCCTAATTATAATTTTTTTTTAAATTTGCCCTAATTATCATTAATTTACATTTCTTGATTGATTTTTATCCCCTAATATTTAGGGCGTATCACAGTTCACAAACGTAATCTATAAATTCTCAACATCAACTAACAAAATCATGTATGCCACTCCAATGACTTACAAGTGTTGGTAAAAAAAAAAAAAAAAAAAAAAAAACAAGAAAATACTTGAAAACTAATAGGATTCAACCAATTAATGGGTCCATATTCCAGAGTTGCCATTTTTGACTACGCAGCACCCGTCTTTGACAACATTACAAGACGACATAAGGAATATAATAAGCTGAACAACACGTACCCTTCCTGTAACAATTTGGTTGTAGCAATCATGTCAGGGTTTAGCTCACTAGTTTAGTAGTCAGTATTTGAAAAAAGAAACTAAAGTTTGAGACTTGATAGCAACAATGTGTGAATTATGCTTAAAATAGACAGATTTCTTGTACGCTTGTCATTTCTGTAATCTATTACTGATAAAGTAAATGTGCACAATTATTTATTTTATTAATTCATGTAACATCTCACATTCTAACACTTGCCAATTAATTAAGAATAAAATAGAGTAACACACTACCTAATACAAATTAAGGGTGTGTTTATTCGCACAAGAGAATTGGAATCGGAATAAGAATCAAATACTTGGTAATGGTAATGGGTTTTGGTGAAAGTGTTCTGCATGTTTGGTAGTAGGGTGGAATTGGAATCATTATCAATAAATTGCGGTTTGATTATGTATTATCCTATAATGAGAATAAAGGTTTTAAAAATACTCGAACAAAAAATCAAGACAATTTATTCTAATATAAACTATAAAGACCTCCAAAGCACCAATATCAACAAAAAAATAAAAACAAAAATCTAAAAGCACTAATCAAAACTTAAAATCAAATTACCAATTAGGAGGTGAATAACAAAGTGAAACCCTTATTTTATTATGCAATAAGTTTTCTAATCAAGGGTGTAATCAAATCTCATAGTAGTGTTCTAGAAACCTGTCAGCCAAATAATAACAATGACTTGATTCCCATTTGAAATTGCACCGTGATACTTGAAAAATAAAAGCAATGTATTTTTACTCGTTAATTAAGTTATGCACCAGTTTCATTAATTAATTAGACTCGTTTAAGCAAGTGTAAATAATAACCGCAGAAAGCATAAAGTAAATTAAAAACACAAAGAAATTGTTACGCAGTTCGGAGCTCCTTCTCCTACGTCTGCAGGGCAACCCACGTCTGCCCAATCCACTATAGATGTTCACCAAAAGGAGTATTACAAGAGGTAAATGAAGATGGCCTCCAGCCTTTACCACTACCACTCTTTCTAACACCTATCCAGGACTGACACACAAATACCCGAACAATCTTCACAAGATATTTCAGCAGTACCACGTACTGATCATGTAGTACAGATTAAATATTCTTAATAATCAAATGATAAACCACATTAAAAAGAATAGCTTTGTAAATGAGTATAGCTCTCGTAAATGATAATCTTGAAATTAGCAATGTCTTCTTTCAAACAGCACCTTTTTATAGCACATCATTAGCTCCCTTTGTGATCCTTAAAAGTAGCCATGTTTCTTGCTTCTCATTGTTCGAATAAGCCACATCCACATTTCTATTTCTTTGAAAGCTTCATCCGTAGACTTTATTCACCAAGGCATACCATCCACTTATTTTGTAATCACATTGTCCAAAAAAGAAATAATTCTAACAACAATAATTTAATTAAAACTAATGCGGCTATAGCTAAAATAAAATAGTCAATATTGTGTAAATTATTTTACACTTACACCATTCATGATAGCTATGTTGAGCATATAACCATTAATATGCAATCCAACTATTAGCTTAGACTTTTAGTTGAGAGCACACTTCAATTTGGTATCAGAGCTAGACCAAAAGTCATGAGTTCGGTCCATGCTTCAATTAGCTAAACCCATGAACCAAACACACCGAAAATAAGAATACAATTTTATTTATTATTGCGTTTGGAAAATAGTACACTATTATTATTGATGCTGTATGTAAATTAGTTAAACAACACTAAAGTAGCTAGGTATATTATATTAGTGTGAATTAACAGGAGGAGACCGGAGGAGTAGGAATCAAGAAAAGTTCATTCTTTTTGGCTACAGCCATTCCAGGCCTCTCTGACATGTCCAATGTTTCAACTGTAACTCCAGCAGGCAGCTTCCAGTCAAAGTTGTAGAGCAAGTGTGCTAAAGGAAACAAAGTGTTGGCGAAACCAAATGCAAGTCCTGGACATATCCTCCTTCCAGCACCAAAAGGCAAAAATTCGAAGTGATTTCCCATGAAATCAATTGAATTATTATTATTGTTGTTGTCAAATCTTTCAGGTATAAAGCTCTCCGGGTCTTTCCAGTATTGGGGATCCCTACCGATCGCCCATACATTAATTAACACTCTCGCCTTCTGTGGTATGGTGCACCCATAGACTATAGTTTCTTCTCTGCATTCTCTGGGAACTAGCAAGGGAAGCGGAGGATGACACCTCAATGTTTCTTTGACCACTAACTTGAGGTATTCTAATTGCTCAATGTCACCCTCCTCCAACTTCTCCTTCCCTTTGAAGGCTTCTCTCACCTCAGCTTGTGCTTTGGCAAACACCCTAGGATGTTTCATCATCTCCGACATTGCCCACACTACTGTCGTTGATGATGTTTCCGTTCCTCCTGCAAAAATATCCTGCACATGCATAGATCCCATGAAAACACATCCCAGGATAAAACTAAAAATCAATCTCAGTTTTACATATATAAAAATTGGACGAATCATATCAGATTTTAAAAACAATTTGTGCACATGCATATATATATATATATATATATGCTCCAAAAATGATCACATATATATAAATTATATTATTGAAGAGTGGTAAACTAAATTAAACATACGAGGATTATGGCTTTGATGATGTCGTGAGTGATAGGCAGTTGAAGGCCACCCTTTCTCTCAAGTTTGATGAGGACATTGATTATATCGTCAGCCCCTAACTCGCCACTTCCCTTGTTGCCACTTTCTAAGTTCTTTTCGTGCTGTTTGATGATGTTCTCGATAATTGCATCTGTTTTGTGATAAACTTCTAGGAACTTACTCTTGTTCCCGCAGAGGCCGTGAAGAAACTTCAAGGAGGGAAACACGTCAGCAAACTCGAAACCTCCTAACAAGGCTGACATCTCGTCCACTAGCTCAATTAACTCTTCTCTTCCGGTGAATACCCTACCTATTACATTATAGTATATTATTACAAGTATTTATAAAATTATGTTTCGTTCCCTCGGAATCGGAATCGAAATCGAAATGGGTATCAAATACTGAGTAATGGTAATGGGTTTTGGTGGAACTATTTCACTATTTTGCATGTTTGGTAATAGGGTAGAATGAGAATGGTTAGGCTAAGGGTGAATAATGGAATGAAACCCTTATAAAATAAAGGAATAAACTTTTCAATTAATGGGGTATTTCAAACCCATAGTAGTGTTTTAAAATCAGTCAAG